CCCTTGACCACAGTCCCTCTGTACATCTCCCATACTTCTATAATGCTTTGTGGGAACCTTGGTCCCCACAAAGGCTTAGGCATTGGTCTGTCTAAGGAGGATGCCTGATTCAAAGGGGACACACATGCGAACACTTCCCTCATCTGGGGTTCTCATCCCATCTCCTGATAATTTCCCAAGGAAGAGTGACCAAAAGAGCTTTACCCAAGTAAGAGAAGCACTGAGCATAATGAGTCCTTGGATAATTAACTTTCATGTAAATACTATTCCTTTTCTTGGATAAGCCATCAGCCTCCAATTTAACTGACTTCTTGGATCTCGGCCCCACTCCTGTGTCATAGACAAAATCTTGTCTTTAAATGGAAGCTCAAGAATGAAGTATTCCCAGGAACCAGCAGTTAGCATAATGGCTGTGTTGCTAGACTCGCACATAGTCGACTGTGGTTCACATCCCGGATCCGGTGGCTTAAAACTCATGCCAGGCTTGTATGAGTGCATGCCCAAGATCCTGAGAGGAGAGTGGAGGAAAAGGGATTGCAGCGTGACCATCCCCCCTGGGGGTGATTTCTTGCTTTCTGAATCTATGTCTCTCTCTGTCTGCCTGGCGAGCACACGAGCCCTATAGCGAAAAAAAACCTCCAAAAAGAAGAAAAAAAGAAAGAAAAAAAAGAATGAAGTATTCCCTCCACTGCCACTGTCAATCCCATCAGCCTCACCCCTGCCACAAACTCTTCTATGTGGCTCCACTTTCTGATGCACAGGCAATTCCTAGGTAGATAATTAAAATCCTCCCACAGACATGTTCATACTATTTATTGTTGCACTTCATCCAGGATATAAACATGCATGGGCATGTGAACACACTTCTCAGGTTTATTTTCTCCCTCGGTGTCCATCAGGGTGTCTCTTCTGGTATCTTACTGTCTGCACATTGTTTTCTGCACAGGAGACCATCACAAATGCCTCTTTCCTGGATCAGAAACAAATTCCTAGGAGCTGCCCTCCTTTTATGTAATGTTTAGGATAGCACAGGACCCAGCTGAGAGAATCCCCAGAGACCTGAAATACACAAGCACACAGAAGAAATACAACTTCTCTGAGCACTATTACAACACTTTCTTCTCTTTCCAAGGCCTCACCAGCAAAGATTGTCCTCTCCCTTCCCCACCTAAGTTCTCTCAATGTAGATCAAACAGTCAGAAATTCTTCACAATCTCTGCCTCTTGTGCCTCCATTCTCTGTCAAACTGCCCTCAGCCAAGGAAGTTCACAAGAGATGCGAAAGGAGAGTGGTTATGGACAGTACACAATTGTTGGGACAAAGGTATCAGGCACTGCTTCAGGACTTGTAGACCATTGTGGAAAGGGAGTCAGGCATGATAGTCAGGAACCAAAACCTCGGGGATGGGAGGATAGAGCTGAGTCTACTACTCCAAAATGCACTTCAGAGAAGCAAAACAGAAGGTTCAACTCTAACACTGAGTGAGTGTCTGTGCATGTTCCACTCTGCTTCTGTGACCTTGAAGCTTCTCCAGCTCTATCTTGTTCTGTCCTGTGTCCTCCTCGAGCACCTGGGTTCAGCCACTCTCTCTCTGCATTGGAGGCTCAACTTCTGCATGTGTGATAGGTGACTGACTACATATGTTTCAACACTAACTTCTGGGCTTCACACTTGTCTTCTTGGTTCCCTACCACATAGTACTATGGGGATTGCACCACAGGTCCTCACTGATGATCTGTTAGAGGAACAGAGAAGTCAGGCAGGTCAGGATTCCAGCTCCTTTCCCAAGTGGCTGGGGAATCTTCCTAGGGCACAAGTGATTACTTCCCTGTAAGGCCCCACCTCATCTATCTGGTTTGATCCTACAAAGTTGTGCTAAGAAAACCAGTGGAAAAATTCCTGTCATGCATGGTGCCTGTGGATGAAAGCCTCATGTGCATGATTCAGATACTACTGAATTAAAGCGGAATGAGATGCTCTGTATCCTTCAGGAAGAGGAGTATATGGAACAGGGATGAGTTATGCTGGCCACAATCAAAAATTAACCTCACTACCAGCCTGGGTACTACTTCTTATCATTAGTGCTACAGATATATTTCTTAATGATCACTCTGTTCCAGGAGTAGGGGCTAAGCCAGAAGATGATCTTGCAGCTGTGTTTGGGATGACTAACTTTCTCCTTCTGCCAAATAAAGGGCAGAAAGTTATGTTCACTTTCCACTACCCAGGTCATCTGCCTTTCATCTTTGCAGGGATCAATTCATTAATTCTTTCCCTTCTGCTTCTCCACTCAACCCTTCAAAATCAGCCTCCTTCATTTCACTACCAGTTTGATCATTTAGCTAAGTTTGTCTTTACCTTGCTCACTGATCACAGATGACAACTGGCAGTGATTCACAAACTGACATAGGTCAAATAGCCTTCAGCTGCTAAATAAGTAGGAGCCAGAGGCAACACAACAAGGGCAACTCTTTTTCTTGGCAGGAGAGAGGTTTTCGCTATAGGGCGTGTGCGCTCACCCGACAGACAGAGACCGACAGAAAGCAAGAAATCACCCCCCCTGGGGGGGGTCATGCCGCAATCCCTTCTCCTCCATTCTCCTCTCAGGATCTTGGGCACTCATGCACATGCGCCTGGCGTGAGTTTTAAGCCACCGGGTCTAGGACGCGAACCGTGGTTGACTACGTGGGAGTCCAGTGACATAGTCATTAGGCTAACTGCTGGTTCCCAGCAAGGGCAACTCTTGACAGCAGCCAAGGGTTCTGAGGCATGCCTTGTAACTCCTAGCACTACATGAGCTGGGTATAGCTGAGGCCCATGTAGTCCCTAAGATCTCAGGTCCCCAACCCATGTGTGTGTGTGTGTTTATGTGTGCCATGTGTCTTTTTAGTGTGCGTCTTGGGGGAGGAATTCTGAAAGAGCATGGTTGCTAGGGTTCCTGAGTGTTCTTCTTTGTGTGTGGAGTACTGGATGGACTTAAACTTACTTCTCAAGGTGAATCCTCCCAGCCCTGACTGGCCTCAAACACTCAAATTCCTTTACCAGTAGCACCATCCCTAGGATCTACTCTGCGATCTTATAGTGTCTGCTCTCAGTGAGACTCCTTTGTAGAATTCAGACCTCTGGTTCACAACGTCATCCCTGGTTCCATCTATGTCTGTGTCACCATGTTTGGGTTCTTAAATATCTCTGTCCCTTTCTGGCTGCAGTCCTGGCCAATTCCATCCTTGGGTCTTTTGGCCCAGGTATAAATAACAGTCGCTAGGCAGGACGAGGGACAAATGACAGAACAAATGTTCAGAAGCAGGGGGAAGACATACAGATGGGGAAAGATTGAGTCATAGGGAGTTGGTGGGAGTGAAAAGAGACATAAAGAAGAAGACTCCCCAGACTGGGTTGTCCAACCTCCTCACGAGAGACAGGCCAGAAGAGAGAGAGAGACACGGACATATGTAGGCCAATCTGAATATGCACACAAGGTGATAAAAGGCCAAAGGTCCCAACAGTCAAAGCATAGAAATCCCTGTATTGATTCTGAGGAAAGAAGATAAAAAATGGCAGGGACTATCACAGGGATCACAGGGAACTTGCCTCTGTAGGCCCTGAATTTGACAAGAGTGGGTCAGGGAGAGAAAAACCTGGGCCCTTCCTTAGGAAAAAACTCAGACAATAGACCTTCTGTTGAGTCCCTGATGAGCCTGCTACCCAGTGCTCTGGAGACAAAAATAGTGAAGCTGTCCTGCATCTTCGTAGTGGACACAAGACCAAGAGTGGTCACAGGATATGGTCCACACTGGACACTGTCCTATGCTGGCCTGGATGAGTCTTATGCTCAAGCCCATATGCTGGAAGTGAAGAAGTCCAGTGGATGAGCAGCCAGGTTGCCTGCCATGTGCTATGTTCCACCTCACAGAAACCATGCCCCTGCAACTTCATTTCTTGTCTTCCCCAGTCACCACAGATTCCAGCTGGTGGCATCTGGGAGCCACCTAGTCCCCTAGTTGTGGCAAAGAGAAACTGGTAACTCCTGTCTGGTCTACATCTAGTCAGCATGGGACAGTCATAGAGACAGTGGTCCCAGCAGGTCCATCCATACTCCCTCGCTGGAGTACCAGCTGGAGCCTCCTCCAATGGGTAGAGTTGGATCACAGATTTTTAGATCCAAAACCTAATCCCTAGATCCAGGGACTCTGACCATCTTGCCCTCATTCCTGAAGGGAGTATGTTTTGCTGTCCCAAGTGGGGATGAAGGAGTTCATGTGTGTCAGGAGTGTTAGTACTGGCACATCATTTGCAGGGATGTCCACATTTGAACCATTTTACTTCTGGAGAGGGAAGGAATCTCAGAGAAAACACTGCAATTTCCCTTCTTCACCAGCGTAGTCAGCCATTTCCCCAATTCCCAAATGCATAAATGCTTCTGCAAAGCAGTCAGTGGTTTGAGAACAAACACCCTGAGCCTCATAAATGTGATATTTGAGCCTCACAGAAGTTCCATGTGAGGCTCAAAACAGCTGCTATGCTTGCACCAGTTCCTTCTCTGGGGCACAGCATGCTGAAAATTCCCCACCAAATGAAAAGGCCCTGGGTCTTTGTTGCAGAGTACACGTGGTCAAAAGAACTTTTTCCAGGTAAAGGGAAAACTGAACATCTTGGGTGCTTGTTTAACTAACTCTTTTCATAGAAATATCATTCCTTTTCTTGCATGAGTTATCAAACGTCCAACTTCACTGGCTTCTTGGTTCTTTGCATCCACCTCTGCCCCATAAGCAGAAATTTGTCTTCAAATGGAACGCAAAGCAGGAAGTACCCTTCCATTGCCATTGCATCCACTGGTCCCCTCACCCCCACTCCCACCACAACAATTCTCTTCTGTAGCTCTCCCTCCTATACACATGGACAATTTCTAGGCAGAGAATTAAAACTCTTCCATAGACATGAACTGTGGATTGCCGCATTCTATTCAGGAAATGAACACACACAGGAGTACATATGCATGTTCTGGATTTATTTCCCCTTTGATATCCTCCCAGGTATCTTTCCTGGTGTCTTGTTGACTGCACATTGTTTTCTGCTCAGGAGACCATCGCAAAGACCTCTCTCCTGGTCTGAATCAGCTTCCTAGGAGTTTCACTGCTCTAAGGTAACGTCTGGAGCTGTGTCAGACCCAGCTGAGAGAACTCGGAGAGCCCTGAAACACAAACACACATAAAAAAAGCAACTTTAATATACCAAGCACTGTTATAGCACTCTGCTACGTTTTCAAGATCCCACCAGCAAAGACTGTCCTGTCCCTTCCACATCTAAGTTCCTTCAATGTTGTTCTTGTGGTTCAAATGGTTAAACTCTTCTCCATGATCCCTGACCCTCAGTGCCCTAATCCTCTGTATGACAGCTCTTGGCCAAGAAGGTGCATGAGAAAAGTGACAGGACACACTGCTTATAGAAAGCAGACAACTACTGGTACAAAGGTATCAGGCAGCACTTTTGAGACTGACAGGCCATTGTGGAAAGGGGGCTAGGCATGACAGTCAGGAAGCCAAAACTTCAAGGACTTGAGGGTGGATCTGAGCTGACTGCACTTCAGAGAAGCAAAGCTGAAGGCTCAGCTCTGCTGCTGTGGGAGTTACTGTGCACACTCTACCCTGCTTTTGCGGCCTTGAAGCTTCCCCAGCTCTACTTTGCTCTGTCAGGCAGTCTTTATCTGTCTGAATCCCTCTAAAGCCAAGAGTAGGTAGGTTTAGCCACTCCTTGCCTGACAAGAAACCTCAATTTCTGCATGTGTGACAGGTAATTAACTACATGTGGTTCAACGCCAACTTCCTGGGTTTCACACCTGTCTCCGTGGTTCCCTGTCATGTAATACGGCAGGGGATTGCGCCACAGGTCCTCAGTGATGATCTGTTAGTGGAACCAGTACAGGTCAGGTCAGGTCAGGTCATGATTTCAACCCCTTTTCTGAGTGGCTGGGGAATCCACCCAAGGCATGCCTAACTACTTCTCTGCAAGGTCCTACCTTAACAATCCAGTTTGATTCTGCAAAATTGTGCTCAGAAAACCAGTTGAAAAAGTTAATGCTGCTGTCATGGTGCCTGCGGGTGAGAGCCTCTTGCATGTAATCTTGATACCACTGAATTGGGGTGGAGTGAGATGCTCTGTAACCTGCAAGTAGACGAGTATGGGAGAAGGGACAGGCTGGCTACAACCAAAACTTCAACCTCATTACCAGTCTGGGCATCACTTCTTACCAGTGGTGCTAAGGAGATATTCCTTTATGATAACTCTGTTCCAGAAGTAGGGATTTAGTCGGAAGAAGAACATGATCTTGCAGCCATGATTAGGATGCCTACTTTCCTCCACCTGTCAAATAAAGGCCGAAAAGCTATGCTCACTTTCCACTATACAGGTCACCTGCCCTTCTTTGGAGGGATTAATTCATTAATTCTTTCTCTTCTACTTCTCCATTCAACCCTCCCCAATCAGCCTCCCCCATCACACCTCCAATTTGATCATGTAGCTAAGCATGTCTTCATCTTGCTCACTGATCACAGATGATAACTGGGGATGATTCACAAACTGATGTAGGTCAAGGAGCTTTCAGCTGCCATGGTAGGAGTAGCCAAAGACAATACAGCAAGGGCAACTCTGTAGAGCAGCCAGGGGTTCAGAAGCCCACTCCACCCCTCTTGGCACTACATAACCTGAGTACAACTGATTCCCATGTTGTCCCTGAGATCTCAGGCTCCTGACCTGCATGCACACATGTGTGTGCATGTGTTTGTGGGTGTGTATAATTCTAATATATCATGGTGAAAATGTCTCCTGGCCTCTGTTCTTTTTTATGAAGACAGCTGGATAGACTTGAATTTCTCAAGGTAATCTGACCAGCCCTGACTGGCCATGGAAACACTCGAGCTCCTTTACCAGTAGCACCATCCCCAGGATCTTTTCACTGATCTTATAGTGTCTTCTATCAGTGAGATTTTTCTATAGAACTCAGACCTCTGGTTCATAACGCTGTCTGGCCATCCCTGGTCCCATCCTAGGTCCCACTGAAGCTCTGTGTCACCATATTTGGGTTCTTGGACGTGTCACTGGCCCCATTCTGTATCAGATTTGTTGCACTGCTGCTTCTTCTATGGCTTCCCAGTTTCCTCTGGTCTATTTACACTGCCCTCCACAGAGTCCACTTACTCACACTGACCCCCTGGACAGTCAGAGGCCAGGTTTCAAAGGATACAGCTTGGGCCCAGAAACCAGGGATGGCCTGGATGAGGGTGCTTCTGCGATCCAGGTGAGACTTCCGCCTCTGCCCCAGCTTGCTTTTCAGACGAGCGAAGGCCCTGCTAGCTCGTGCATTCAGGGGTTCCATATCTAGCTGAAGGGCCCCCAGCTCCTCCAGAGGCTGCGGGACCCTGGTGGAGCCCCCTGGGGCCTGCTCTCCTTCAGGCGGCTGCTTGTTCTCCTGCTGAACAATTAACTCCACCTCCTGCACTATGTCTTCCACGACTGTCTCGGCACCACTGTCCTGATCCGACCCGACCTGACCTGACCCGGCCAGCCGGGTCCCACCCAGCCCTCCCTGCCTGTCCAATCCGCCTGTACGGTGATTTTTTCCACCCGGGCCTCCCTCCCCCGCACAGTATCCTTGAGCCAGATCAGAGTGAAATCGGCACCGGGCCCACCCTCCACCATCTGTGCCACTTCCACCATCGACTCCACCCTCAGGAGGCCTCTGGGGTTCATTCCCCAGCAGGCCCTGGGCTCTGTGCCTCATGCAGGCCCCAAACCACATACATTTTCTGTGGGTTCCACAGGAACATCTTGGTACTCATCTCCGTGTTCCGCTTCACTAGCCATATGTGACTAGATATAGGCTGAATCATTTGAGGGTGGGAGGTTAGAGAGAGGATATTAGCAGACCACCAGAGCCTTTCCAACGTGGTCTGCTGACTCTCATACCTTCCCGGGATTTTCAGGCTGGCTTGACCACAGCGGACTCCTCAACCAAAAATCCGGATAGGAGGTATTACTAAGTCACGCCCTCTAGGCTTGACTTCCGGCCCTAAACCATCTTGGGCCAATCAGGGCCCTGGTTCTGGGTTGGGCAGCGCTAACTTGGTGGGGAGGGGTGAGGACGTTAAGGGCGGCGCCTGTTGGGCAGTTAGAGGAAAAGCCGGTAGGACTGGTAAATGTGGGTCGTTAAGGCTGGTAGGCACGCACGTAGAGGTCACAGGGGCGGCAGCATCCTGTTTACCAGCTGCAACCCCACATTATCCTACTCTTCTCCAGCCCCTATACAACAACCAAAGACTCCTCCAAACCTCTCCCCATATCCAACAAATCTCCTAGAAGGCCTCCTCGGACTCATGTGCCCTAAACTGAACCTGCACCATTCTGCCCACTGGAAATCTTTCATTATGTGTGGGACCCCATGGAAGTCTCACCAGCAATGCTCAATAAAAATTCCCCGCCCAGGTCAGATATGTTGATGTCTTGTTCTTTTTTTCATTTCCACTGTGCAGCCTGACCAGGGCAATTCGAAATGTCCAAACACACAATGCGTGTGCACTGTAAAGCTTGGGCACTAGTGTCTCGGAACCCTTAAGGCCCGAAACCCTTGCATTTCCACACCAGACATATCAAAAAGCCCAAGTGAATTATCCCATATGGGCTGACAACAGACTTACAAAAAAAGAGAAAAAAAAAAAGAGGCTTTGAAACAAGATAAGATGGTATAGATGACAACCTGGGCTCCACTGCCTGGAGATCCAGGCAGGCCACCCAGTAAGAACCAAAGCCTGGAGGCACAGCCAGGTGGGGCTTTTCTCTTTAGGTATAGGAACCTTTTCCCTTCCCAAAGAATCTCATGGAATTATCTGTGTGTGTGTGTGTGTGTGTGTGTGTGTGTGTGTATATATGTGTATGGTGAAGAGAGAACAGGGAATAAAATACCAGGAGAGCTGGCAAATAGGAGCATCTCAGAAGAGAGTGCTTGAGTGAGTACAAGGGTTGAGAGAAGGGTTCTTTAAGGACCTGAAGCGTATACCCTGAATCTTGTACAATATTCTATTACATCTCCAGGGTCCACAGAGGGAGGTGCTGTGGGATTGGGGGCTGGGGGATAGAGGGTGGAGGTGGGCTGAAGAACACTTCCTGGCACCTGGAATGATCCGACCCCACCACCACTAGAGTGACCTCCACTAACTACCAGAGACACCTTTCCGGAGTTAGGGCTGCATGTCCTGGGATCATCCAGTGCCTCACCAGCTGGCAACACTAAAGGATGCCAGCTTGATGGCTCTAAACAGAAGCTGCCACCACACCAAGCCCACATGACTGACTTCTGTCTTCCACCCTCTCTTGCACAGAGCCAATCAGGCAGCTAATCTACTGAGTCCTTTTCTTCCTCCCACCCAACATCCCGGAAAGACACACACACCCTTCCCCCTTACTCCCCCTCCCCAATCCCAAACACATCCCTATTGGTACCTGGTCTCGCAGAAGCCTAAAGGGCTGAAGGGCATACACTGAACCCCATGCTGCCAGGCAGGGAATCATATCAGCTTGTACCTAGGGCTACTGGATAGCTCCCTAGCAATGTCCAATAAATTTTCCACTTCCTGGTCACACTTATTGACATGTCATTCTCTCCTTTTACTGTGCACACCCTGCTCACGGAAAATGCAAATGTCCAAACACACAGAGATTGTGCAGTGGAAAGCCAGGGGTTGGCCACACCAGACATGACATAAACAAACTTTACATCTGAAGTAGACCATCAAGTATAAAGAGACACTAAGCCTTCCAAATCACAGTGTCTTGAAACACCTGAAGCTGCAGCAGGTGATGCTCTGGGCTCTGATGCTTTGGATCCAGGTAGGCTGCTGAACAAGACCGGTGGACTGGAGGCATGGTCACGTGGGGTTTTCTCCTTGGATTCAGGAATTTTTTTCTCTTCTGAAGTACTTTTCTAGAATTTGTGTTTCTCTGAGTGTGTATGCTCTGAGGGGGTGGTGGAAGGAAGGACAGGTATGATGGTAAAGGGACGGAAGGGAGGAAAGTGGCAGGGGAGGGCTGGCTGCCTGGAGGGCTTGTCCTAGAAGAGATACTACGGTATGTGTTGGGGGCAGTGGGAGAGGACAGCATTCTTTAAAGATGTGAAGCTATACCCTGTGCTGCACACAATATTCAGTGTTAGATCTCCAGGATTCACAGAGAGGGCAGTGCTGTGAGGGATGGACACTTCCTTGAACCTGGCAGGAGCCTAGTTATTGCACTGAAGTTGCTTAAAACACTATAAGGATAACCTTTTGCCTATGAAAGCATAGGGTTAAAGGTATGCATTACCCCTGGGATGACACTCTATTCCAGGAAACAGAAGACCCCTGATCCTGTGTGGATGTCTCCTAAACAGCATGCCCATCTGCCTATGGAACCACCCTTCATGCAGTTCCATGTCAATGAAATACAGAGAGGCCAAAAGCTGTTTGAACTATGGCTTCTGGCCATTGACACAGTGCCTCCTCTTCTCCTAACGCTTGGCTTGGTACAAGAAAAAGTGCCTGAAAGTCAGGTACATCAACTGTGGTCCATGCTCTTGTCACGCATGGTGATGTGTCCATACCATGCTTGGAAACAGATCCACTTTCAGGGCTGGCCTGTAGGCCACATGCTCTGGAAGCCTGAGCATTGCTGAGATCTGCCTTGGACTAGCTGCATGTACCTAGGGCTACTGGATAGCTCCCTAGCAATGTCCAATAAATTTTCCACTTCCTGGTCACACTTATTGACATGTCATTCTCTCCTTTTACTGTGCACACCCTGCTCACGGAAAATGCAAATGTCCAAACACACAGAGATTGTGCAGTGGAAAGCCAGGGGTTGGCCACACCAGACATGACATAAACAAACTTTACATCTGAAGTAGACCATCAAGTATAAAGAGACACTAAGCCTTCCAAATCACAGTGTCTTGAAACACCTGAAGCTGCAGCAGGTGATGCTCTGGGCTCTGATGCTTTGGATCCAGGTAGGCTGCTGAACAAGACCGGTGGACTGGAGGCATGGTCACGTGGGGTTTTCTCCTTGGATTCAGGAATTTTTTTCTCTTCTGAAGTACTTTTCTAGAATTTGTGTTTCTCTGAGTGTGTATGCTCTGAGGGGGGGGTGGAAGGAAGGACAGGGATGATGGTAAAGGGACGGAAGGGAGGAAAGTGGCAGGGGAGGGCTGGCTGCCTGGAGGGCTTGTCCTAGAAGAGATACTACGGTATGTGTTGGGGGCAGTGGGAGAGGACAGCATTCTTTAAAGATGTGAAGCTATACCCTGTGCTGCACACAATATTCAGTGTTAGATCTCCAGGATTCACAGAGAGGGCAGTGCTGTGAGGGATGGACACTTCCTTGAACCTGGCAGGAGCCTAGTTATTGCACTGAAGTTGCTTAAAACACTATAAGGATAACCTTTTGCCTATGAAAGCATAGGGTTAAAGGTATGCATTACCCCTGGGATGACACTCTATTCCAGGAAACAGAAGACCCCTGATCCTGTGTGGATGTCTCCTAAACAGCATGCCCATCTGCCTATGGAACCACCCTTCATGCAGTTCCATGTCAATGAAATACAGAGAGGCCAAAAGCTGTTTGAACTATGGCTTCTGGCCATTGACACAGTGCCTCCTCTTCTCCTAACGCTTGGCTTGGTACAAGAAAAAGTGCCTGAAAGTCAGGTACATCAACTGTGGTCCATGCTCTTGTCACGCATGGTGATGTGTCCATACCATGCTTGGAAACAGATCCACTTTCAGGGCTGGCCTGTAGGCCACATGCTCTGGAAGCCTGAGCATTGCTGAGATCTGCCTTGGACTAGCTGCAGTCCTGGTTAGTTGCACCCTTGAGTTCTTGTGGCCCAAGTACTGATGCCAGTCACTGGGGATGGCCAATGGCCCAACTGCTAGTCCCCAGTCTGAGCTGAAAGAAGCAGAAGGCTCCTGCCTTAGAGGGGAGAGATGGGACAGACAAGGAACAGAACAAATTGTCAGAGGCAATAAGGAAAACAGTTACAGACAGGGAGAGACTGTGTCCTAGGTAGACGGAGGGAACCACTACAGACAGAAAGAGGAGGACTCACCATACTGGGCTACCCAACCTCCTCAGGAGAGATAGGCAAGGAGAGACAGAGAGACACAGAAACGTGTGCCAATCTGAATGCACACATTACAGGATGGGTGATAAAAGGACAAAGGTCCCAGCCACCAAAGCACAGAAATCTCTGCCTTGAGATAGGCAGGTAACTCGCAAGATAGTGAGAGCTTTCTCTGGGACCACTGTGAGCTGGTGCCTGTAGGCCTTGAACTTGACAAGAGGAGTGGGTCAGGGAGAGCACCCTTCCTTAGAGTAAGATCCAGATGATGAGCCCTCTGTCAAGTTCCTGATGAACCTGCTACCCATCTTCATAAAGATGAAGCAGTGCTGCATCTCTTTGATGGATATAAGACCGTCATTCACGCTGGACATGGTCCTAGGCTGGCCCAGTGGATCTTTTGCCTGTCTCAACACTGGAAGTGAAGGAGCTCAGTAGACAAGCATCTGAACAGGCTGCCGTTTTTCTTTGCCACATCATTATGTTTGCAGCATGTGTGCCCCCTCCCCCGGCCCGGCCCCGGGACTTAGTTTCTTTTCTTTCCCAGTCACCACATATTCTAGCAGTATCATTCAGGAGTCACATGGTCCCCCAGTTGAGACAGGCAGGAGATTGTACATTTGAATGATCATTTTCTTTTTTTGTGGCAGAGGCAAACGGTGGTAGAGACAGTGGTCCTAGTATGTCCATTTACATTCCCTTGCCGGTGAGTTATCTGTCTGCATCCTCCAAGGGGCAGCAGACATTCATGCAGCTTTGAGTATTCCAATTCACCTGCCCTTGATCTTTCCAGGTGTCAGTCTGTTAATTCTTTTCTTTCCCCTTTCTCTTCTCCTTCCCCTCTCATGTACTGGCAATAGTGATAATTTCACTTTTCCTCCTTCCCTATTTGGATGACTTTTTAAAAAATTTTGTCTGATTGCATTGGCAAGTACTGCCATTATATTTTCAAGAGGAGTAGAGGAAGTGGGTAGCCTTCTTTTGTTCCAGATTTTAGTGGAAAAGCTTTAGGAT